ATAAACTAGATGAAATTGTCTTCAAATGAAAATAGCACTTGTCATTGTTAAAAAAAAACATTTAAAGAGGACTTTTGAGTGGCCAAACTTGTCTATGATCGGTTTTTAAAAAAATCATAAATTATGACAATTTTTTTTTTTTTTTATCATTTTCCGATTGTACTACAGATACCCCACTTTTAGAAAAACTTCTTTGTTTAATAAGCCTCAAGTCCATATTGATTAAATTGAGGCAAATATTGATTATTAGGCAAATTATTGAGATTCACCTCAAGTTGTGTAAGGAAATATGATTTTTCATCTTGTCACCTAAAAGTCTCATCTTGTCACCTCGAGGTGAATCTCAAGAATTTGCCTTATAAACCTCAATTTAATTAATATGAACTTGAAGCATATTAAACAAAGAAGTTTTTCTAAAAGTGGGGTAGCTGTAGTATAGTTGGATAATGTTAAAAAAAATCACCAATAATTTATGGTTTTTTTAAAATACAGAACTTGGCCAAGTTTAGCTGCTCAAAAGTACTCCTTAACTGGTTTTAACGACAAATTCTATTTTCATTTGAAGAAAATTTGATTTAGGTTATTGTGAAACAGTTTTTAACTACTTAAATTAAATGTTTCATCCGTTATCAGTTCCTATTCATCAAAAAGCCTGATTAACTTTAAAAAATACTTAACTCGGATTTCTTACTTTTCTGCTGAAAATTGGCCCATTTGTATAATTATTTTTTTTTAGGTCTTAAGGTCTGCTATCCCTCCTATAAAAATTTTCCTCTACTTACGTGAAACCCTGTATATATATCATGTACTGTTATAACTATTTTGATGATCTGGAATTTTTCTGAAAATTATATGGAAAAAATCTGGAAATTGCTCAATAATGTTTCAGTAAACAACATGGCTAAATGTTAGAATTTTTTTCAAAAGATTTCTGAGTTGTCGTTAACAAAAATCGCTTTGCACATGGTTAGAACACTTAGTTTTATTTCAAATTCTCTTTTAATTGTGTCACATTTTAACTCAGAAAGCCAACTTTTTTCTAGAAAAATACCAAAAGTCATTTTCAGGTAAGTCAAGCAGCAAATTCTAGGATTTAAAATAAAGAAAATGGTCACAAAATGTTTAAATAATTTATATTTTAAAGGAGATTTTGGTAATAATTTAATATTTAATAAGGTAATAATTGAAATATTTTTTTCTGATAAATTAACTTTTCTTATCTCTGCTCTAGTGATAGGGTACTAAGCTTCCAATGCTAATGGTCCCATGTTCGAATCTCAGCTCATGGCAGAAAATTTATTTATTCTGTTTCATTGGCTGTGAGGCTACCCTGGGTCAGGAGACCCTCCTGGGGCACACCCAGCCTCTGTAAAGTGGGCACCCTTAATTAAATAATTAATTAAGGGGGAAAACCTAGCGGTTGTGCGTGATCTCTGTCAAATCACCTACTTGCACAACCGTTGACCTTGCTTTCCCTAAATAGATAGATAGATAGAAAGAAAACTTTATTCTGGGACAAGGTCCCTTATGAATAACAGATATGAACAAAAAATAAAAACTACATCTGGCCAAAAATTACAGTAGTCAATGTTAAAGAATATATAGTATCTTCAGTAAAATTAAATTAAAACAAGTAAAAATAACACCATTTTGAAAAGAAAACAAAATATAAAAAAAAAACATTATTTAAATGAAAAGAGACCAAAATAAAATAAACATGGGTTGATTTTTAAAATTAAAAACTATCAATTTTTACAACCATTCACCTCAGTCAAAATCTGTTTCGCAGTATTTATTTTATTGTATAACGTCATTTTGGGATGTGAGAAGGAATTGGTAAAGATGATATTTAAATGAGGACAAGGAAGAGGCATGGCAGATTTCAGAAGGCAAGGAATTCCGGAAGGCAGTGGATCGGGCAATAAAGGAATATTCAAACGTCTTAGTTCTATGGGAAGGGATATAAAGGTCGGAAACACGGGATCTTGATTTCTGGGAGTGGACCACGGGTTTAAACTGTAGGAGACTGTAGATGTAGGAAGGGTGTCGGGTGTTGATCGTTTGGAATAGTACTAAACCCAAGACCCTTCATGGGTTGTAGTGACACAGGTTTTTTTTTTTTTTTTTTTTTTTTTTTTTTTTTTTTAATCTCTGCTCTAGTTGAGAATCCTATTTTAACATTTTTGACTGAAAGGAAATTTTCTTTATTTAAATTAATATTTCTCACAGTTAGTGAAAAAAATTCCAGGTTTTATAAATATCAACGTAACAATAATAAATATGCATGTGAGTGTAATTATAATTAATCTCAAAATTATACTAATAAAATTTATTTTATATTAATTGAAATGCAATGCAAAATATAAAATGTTAAAAACTATTTCAAACAATAAATAATTAAATTTACACTTTGTTGTTTGAATTAGCTAGGTCATGTTATTGCTGGCCAGAATTTAGATAAATTATAATTAAGGTTTTATAATAATAAAACACTGAATATCATCAGACTAGGATAAATGGGACAAAGTAATCATTTTTAATGTTAGCTCTATCAGACTGTAGTTTTAAAATAATTAAATTATTATTTTTTTATTTGTAGTCATTTTACACATCTGTCTTTGGCTGGAGTATCAGTCCTTATCCTATAATTTTCCTGTTAGTATCAGAATGATTTTATATAGACCACTGCATGAATTTAAATGTAGGGCCTACATTTTTAGGTTTTAAAAAATGAAAAAGTGTATATTTTTGGTAATAGTGTGAAACCATGTAATTCTCACACTCCAATTTTTCAGAGTGAGACTAGATACATAAAAAATCAAATTTTCATCATATTGGGTGTTTGATTATGTTGTTTATAGTATGTACTAGGAAGTAATGTATTATTAAATAGAAAAATTAATAAATCTAAATTAAACTTTTTTGACTTCTGTGGTTTCACACTTTTGTGGTTGATATATTTACTGAAAACAAATTGTATTGGTTTGAAATTGACATTGTTTTAATTTAGTAGAATCCTTAAATTGTTTTAAATTTTTATTAATTAATTTGCTTGGATTGGTGGTTTTAGTTTTCTTTTCATTCATTTAATTAAATAAGTGGAAGGGGTAAGAACAACATTTATTTTGTTCGGAAAGACGAATGGAGATTTTTTTCAAAGTAATATCTCAGCTTGGGTTGTTGAGAACAGAAAATACCTGTTCATTCAATTATCGATCAGTTCGAAAGAAACAACTTGTTTATTTTACCTTTCACTTCTTTTTAAGGAAATAATTTAATTATATTATAATTTTATGATGGTTACAGACCAAAAATTTAAGTTATTGTAGTTAATAAATAATACTGGGGCAAAAATACAGTCAAATAATCTGTTGAAATTTTATGTTATCAACCAATTTCCTTGACTTTCTAGTACTCCATACATTCAAAATTATATGATTTTTCCCAGTTCTCCTTGAACTTCCAGGTTTGTAATAATCTTGAGACACCCATATCTTGTAGGATTGATAGCACACCAATCCTCCACAAATATTGATTATCACAGCCTCAGCACTAGTTTGCTTAATTCAACAGGACGACCATTGGTTGGTGGGAGGGAAGTTATGGAAGTCAGTATAAAAAAATTAATATCATATCACTGTTTTTATCACTAAACATACCAAAATTTTGTCTATACCTATTTCAACCCATGGTTATCAAATTACAATATTTTAAATAGATTTATATTCCATTCTAGTTGACTGTAAAAGATAAAAAATTTAGCATGGGTTATAAAATACAAAATAATTTTCGTATAATTACTAGAAAACTAATCACAGTCTAATCTGAATGTATTGAATACAAAGATTCCTTGAAGACATTTCAGTATATATATATATATATATATATATATATATATATATATATATACTGAAATGTCTTCAAGGAATCTTTGTATATATAATTATATATATATATATATATATATATATAATTATTTTGATATATAGAAAGATTGCTATTTTCTATCTTTGCCGTACTGAAAAAAATTTTTTTTTTGTCAATGGAGGATGAAACAGACAGCTTGAAACGTTTTTTGGATGAATCAATAATAAAAATGAAAATTTTGAAGGGTTCAATTTTTCCTTGAGATTCAAAAATATAAAATGAAAACAAGACTTAGAAAAAATTGCTCCATTCAATATTGAGATATAATATTTATGGAAGGTAGATACACATAAGTTCGAATATATTACATAAAAATTAATTTGTCATTTGATGGCTCTGTTACACCAAGGGTTGATTTTTTCAAAAAGTTTGGTAAAAAGTTTTATTCCTGATTATCATATAATTCTTAATTTTTATTTCCTTTGTTCTTAACTATATATTGTATACAAGTTTATTGTGTGCCTGTGAAGCCTCTGTTATATCACATCTAGTACGTTTATTAAACTATATAGATTAAGTTGTTCAAATTAATTAAATTAAGAAATAGGTTAATTTTAAGGATTTAGTTTGAGATCATTAAAGATAGAGTAATTAGTAAAGGAAAGGAATGGTTTTTCTAGTATATTCAAGGCTTAGCTTTGTTTTAGATTTTATTGTTGTATTTTTAAAGATATCTATATCTTTAGGATTAAAAACACAATAATTTGCCACTTCTTAAAAAACATAAGTTATTCAGTAGGAGCATCTTGAAATAGTCTATTATTTTCTTCAGTAACCTAAGCTTTTTACCTAGTTTTTGTTGTGCTTTGAACATTTAATATGTAAATTAAGAACTGCAAAAATTTATTTTTAAATATATATATATATATATATATATATATATATATATATATTGATTCACATATTAAATGCTTTTCATTGTTATTAACTTATTAATAAAAACTTTGTTTACAAACATTTAACATTAGGGAAATGAATAGTATACTAATTCAAGTTGTGGTAATTTTTATTCTTCAGTGTGTTTTTATTGCAAAACGTTATTTATTTATTTTTCATAAATTTTATTTTTTTAGATCCTGAAAAATGAATGTCAGGTTTCTGATATCGAGAAAATGAGGAAACGAATAGAACTGATTAAAAAAAAAAATGCAAATAATTAAATTATGTCTTAATTGTTTTTTAAACAACACTCTAAAGATAATGATGTTAAAATTATTTTTCGAATCAATCTATATAATTTTTCCTCAGTGAGATGTACATTGTTTTACCATAGTTTTATACTTGTGTGTTTAATAATAAAACTGTTTAATTAATTTTATCATTAACTATGTTTATATTTTTTGTAAATTACTTTTTTGTAGAATTGGATAATTTGAATTAATATTTCTTTTGTTATGATTTTCTATTTTTTAAAAATTTCATTTGAGATAGTGGTTTGATTAGTTTATATTATTTTTTAAATTATACAATATATTATTATTTTAAATCATCAATTCTAAATCTTAAGAATACTCATTGTATAATAAAAAAGAAAATATTTTACTAATGAATAATGTTGCATTTTTTTTATTTGACTTTCACACTAATTAAAAGTTGTTGGTAGCTTTGAAAAACATTTATATGAGGGTTTGGGAAAACTTCAATTAAAAAGGAAATATAGTAATCATAGAATTTTAAAATTACTTTTAAAAACTAATAAATTAATACATACAAATATTAAGTACAGATATTATATAGAAGTCTAGAGATATTGGGATCTTTATATCATTGTTGATTCTGTATATAATGGGGTATTTTTTTAATCCATGTTGTGATTGTTTAATTCTTTAGTTCAATAAAGCCTATATTTTTTATTTTATTTAATCAGGTTATATTAAAATTTATTGAACTGGAAACATTTGAGCATTTCAATTTCAATCAGTAAAGCACAAGACAATAAAAAACTCACGATTCTCATTAATCATGTGTCCTCTATTATTTGTCAGCGTATTAGTGAATACCTAACCTATACCTCTGTCATAGAAACTCCCAATGCTCTTTATATTGAAGCATGTAATGAAATCAATGTTGGCCATCACCTTGCTACACGTTCTCAGGAACAAGGTGAGATCATAGTCCATAGTCATCTCTTATGTTTTATTATTCTTATACAAGTAATACAGGGAGTGGGGTAGCTCAGTGGTAGGATACTGAGCTTCCAATACTAAAGGTCCCAGGTTCGAACCCTGGCTCATGGCAGAAAATTTATTTATCTGTTTCATTGGCTTGCGACCCTGGGGTGGGAGACCCTCCTGTGGCACACCCAGCCTCTATAAAGTGGGTATCCTTAATTAAATAATTAATTAAGGGGGAAAACCTGGCGGTTGAGCGTGATCTCGGTCAAATCACCTCCTTGCACAACCATTGACCTAGAAACAGTGCTTTCCCTAATTAGTACTGAGCCCAAGACCCTTCATGGGTTGTAGTGGTATAGGTAAGGTATATAAGAAATATAGTACAAGATACTGAGGTTAGTTAGTGAAGAATGTGATTTTAAATCGATTTGTACTGACGTATTTTGTGATGAATATATCTAGGTGAACTATTCTTTCATATCTGAGCTTAGCTCCTCAAAAATTGGCCAGAGACTTTAGGGAACTCCACTTTAAATTTTAAGAAAGTATTTGATCAAGTTAGAGTCCTGGGGGGTCACACAAAACACTTAGATTTATCATCCACAGACTGGACAATAAAAGTTTTAACTAAATTGTCAAACAAGAATTCTTTTTTGTTGCGGCCTCCTTCATTGTCCAGAAATGTTATTTTTGTTTATTTAGAGGATTAGATCATTATTCTAAATTATGCAGGTCCAATGGAAAGATTAATGCAGCCAATTCTTATGTTGAAGCAAGGATATCTGTTATCAATATTGCTCTAAACTCTCCTAAGCAGTGGTGAAACAAAACTCGGAGTAGTAGCAGATCGAGGATTTAATTCTTGGGGAGGATTGTTTTTCTATAATTTAACGGTAATTATTCTGAAAGAAAAATAAAGAAACTATATAAAATGATGTTCAAGTGGTCCTTGAAGGTCTGCCAAAAAACAAAACAAAAAAAAAAACAGGAATAATAATGCTTTAATAAAATTAGAGATAATTTTTCTCTTGATAGGTACTTATATTCAGTAGCTGTATATGTGTTATGACTTAAAATTAGTTCACTTATTGTAATTGTTTTAGTATTTAGCTCACAAATCACTGACAGTAACCAATACGAACCCTTGGAAAATAAAATAAAAAATTATTTAAGGGAGCTTTAGCCCAAAAGTACTTTAAAGCTCAAAAACTCATTACCAAGATTGAAATAGATAAAAAAAAAAAAAAAGGCTCACAATTGATTATTTTTAGGTCATAAACAAGTTCACTATATTAGAAGTATATTCCATCCCCAATATTAAAATACTCATTACCAAAATTTCTGAATTCTCCATTTTTAATTCCTTAGAGTTCCATATTAAATAATATCATAGCCATAAAAAAAAAAAAAAAATGAGTGCACCACCTTTGAAGCTTGCAGCAAACTTAACCATTTTTTTCGGAACTTTAAGCAGTGACAAATGGCGTTGCAGAGATATTCAGAGAAGCATTGACTATATCATAGAAACTGAAAGTATTCAAGGTTTTTTAAAAAAATATTTATATGTTTTAATAATATGTAGTATGGATTTAGGATAGCATATTTCTAAATGCTGCGAAAAAGTATGTACAATCTTACCTTAAATTAAGCTAAGTGCCGTTTCTCATAACAATCTATTAACATTATAGGTTGGCCTGTTTGTAATAAACAGATAAAACCTCCCTAGATTTCCTCTTATATTATTTAATGTTTATAAATTAATCAAGGAAGTTTTTTTGTTATTTTAGGTATAAAGTATGAAAACCTTTTTTCTTCTGTATATGTCCATTTACCATGTCAAAAAAAAACCAGTCAGCTAAAAAAATCAGCTACTTGAAATTATTTTTCCCGAGTTTTGAACTTCTTCTTACATTAACGGATCCAGGATTTAATTTTGGGGGACTTCAGCCCGAAAGATTTTATATATATATATATATATATATATATATATAACGATTATTACTTTTGGAAAAAGAAAGAAACTATAACTACCTATATAAAATGGTGTTTATATGATTCTTGCAGTCCTATTAAATATAATTAAACGAATAATAATACTTTTACAGGTAAGTTTTTAATATTTATTTCATAAGACATGCTCATGTATTTCCATTTTGGGATGGGGGGGGGGGCTTCAGCCCGAATCCCCCTCTCGCGTTGATCCGCCTGTGGTTCCATCTGCCTACTTATGGCTGACTACACTTTTAAGCAGCTCCTAAGTCCTCTTTGAATTGTTTTAACAATGGCACACTCTATATTCATTGGAAGTAAGTTTTGTCAAGTTTACAGTGAAGTAATTATTGATTACTTCATTAATTATTTCTTTACTTATCACTTTCTATTCAATAAAAGGCATGATTCACTTTTTAAAAGAACACAAAACTACGATTTCCTACTTTTCTACTGAAAATTGGTCTATTGTTTATATGGACTTTTTTGTATCTCATGAGTTCTAATATCACTCGTACAAAAAAAAAAATCCCTTTACTTACGGAACACTCGGTATATATATATATATATATATATATATATATATATATATATATATATATATATATATATATATATATATATATGTATATATATAGTATACATAGTATATTTTCAAGCAGGGATGGCCAGAAGGGGGTTTCATGGCGCAAGATACGCCATCAAAATTTTTGAGGGCGGCATATTTTGACGGGTTTTTTGAATTTTTGTGAGGGAAAAATTTCGACGGGGTTATGAATTTTCGTACTAATGGACAAGAGTAGCACATGGAACTGACCGCAGCAAGTGTATTTATATTTGATCTACAATTTTTCTAACTCTACCTTAGCTTGCTCTGTTTTTAAAAAAGGTGAAGAATAAAATATCTTGGGAGGAGGGGGGGGGGCCTAGGTTACTGCGCCATTGACCTTGGGGGGAGATGGGCACCCATGTTCTCAAGAACATTTTTAGTTCTTCAAAAGTAATTCTGTTTGTTGTTGGATACTGCTTTCAACCCTATTAAATAATAGAACTACTTTGAGAAATCCATATCTCATCTCTTAAATGAAATACAATTACTACAGATGATCATAACTTCCATATAGTACTAAAAATTGGTTATACTTTCTCGAGCTTTTGACGGGTTGACGATAAAATAGTAAAGTAATATATATGTTTGTTATATGCGAAAAACTGAATGAAGTCAACTTTTATGAATCGTAAATTTAAATTTTCGATTTAAAATTCCCGGGTATGGAGTAACTGACGATCATTTCATATTTTAGGATGTTAAACACTATAAATCTAAAGGGTTTGTTTGTAGCTTTTAGTCTTCATATGAATCTGGTCAGGACAATATTTCGTTCATGAGATCTGCTATGTTTACGTCCAACATTTCTTTAATTAAAAGAAATTCTAGTGCATTTCGCAAATCAACTATCGAGTATTTAGAAAGGAATTCTTACGTTATTCACTTTTTGTTAATATATTTATTTTTTTATAATTGAGGGCCCCAAATTTTTTACCGCTTAGGCTCTTGCCTTGATGCACTCATGCTGTCCTAGTCTAGGCAAATTAGCATAAGAAAGGAGATCTAGCTTGCAAATGGTCGTGTAATTCAAATTTCATTTTTATATTTTAGGTATGTAAAAATCCAATATTCCGGCCTTGAAAGCCTTGTGGGTTCACTGCAGTGCTCCAAAAACCATTGAAATTTCGAACTTTTTTTGGTTTACGCTAAATATTTAGAGCGACATAGATGTTGGTTAGGTTTTGGAAACTTTGTGTTATTCCATTAGGAATCCAAACCACATATTCAGTTTTATTGTACTGCCATCGTATTGCATCAAGTACTTTGGTCGATAAATGTAATATTGATAGTTTATAAAAAAGACTATTTCTATTTATTTTGTCAAAAGCTGATTCAAAATCCACGAAAAACAAGTAAACTTTTTGATTCGAATAAAACTTTATATTTATTATATGAATAAAGTAAAAATATTATCAACTGTACTGAAGCCAGCTTGGCATTCATTAATTATATCATTGGTCAATGTCCATTGGGTAAGCATATTATGGATCAAGCCGGAATAAATTTTTGCAAATTTATATTTATATTTGTAAGATCTTTATTATGTTATTTTG